TGGAAGAAAATTACAACTTCAGAATCTGATCTAAAAATGGAGACTTGTAATATTAAAGTTACAAGAAAATCTGTTAATACCATTGAAAATGCAAAAAACACTTTAACAGACGCAAAAATGTTCCTGTGTAAACACATCTACAAAATGCTCTAAGTACACCTCTGTCTCTCTCTGCCCCACATCTCAGTTTCACTAAGTTACAGGTACAAGACAGTCATTGAAAAAATTAAAAGAAAGGAGAAAAGTATGCTAATGACAAAGAAGCTCCTGAAGTAGATGGGAAGTCCCTGAAAATTATTTTCACATTTAGAATGCACTCTTACTTAAAGTTTTATTTTCCCAAAACCTGGCCCAGATATAACCAAAATTTTCACATGTAGCAACCAATACATGTAATATGCTGGTGTATCTCTGTACTGTTCCATTTATATGTAAAATACCTAAAACATTGGATTTTATAAGATGCACCCCAATTAGTGTTTCTTGTTTGAATTACTGTTTATACAGAGGTAAGCTTGATCTCATTCTACTGTAAAAACAGAAGCATGAGACAGTGCTGGTCAGTATTTTATATAACATTAAGAAGAAATGGTTACTGATCAAGTTGTAAAATTCTCTGAACTATTTAAACCAGAGAACGCTGTACTCCAGTGCACAGAATTTCTTCATAAACTGCCACACAACTACCAATGATCTCTGTAGGTTAATTTCCCCTACCCTACCCTTTTTTAAACTGTCAGGATATTTTTTGCATATCAAACAGAAAAAAACAGTTTTGAATACAGAAAATAATCTTAAACCTAAATGAGTGAAAATGCATTAGGTGGAGCATATTAACTGAAAATATATTTAAAAGTTATGTTCCAATTTCATCACACCTGAATTACTCCACACATTTTCCACCCCAAGTTTCAGTGCTGATAGAAGACAACTTAGCTCTAACTATCCTCTGGTAAAACAATTATTAGCAAAATCACCTGTCTTTTCTTTTAGTCATTGTCAATCTGCAAGAAGGACTATATTTTCATATAATGTATTTAAAAAAAAAAAAAAAAAAAAAAAAAAAAAAAAAAAAAAATCAGGTCATTTAGACTCCAGAGGCACCAACACAAAACCCCAGAAAGTAAAGAACTTCTGTCCACTTAGCTCCAGTTCATTCAACTCAAATATGAAGTCATTACTTTTCTCAAAACTTCTTCTGTGTGTAACAATTATCCTGAAAGGAACAATCTCTTATCTATTCCCAAAACATGCAAGTTTAATGTTTATGTAGCCAGAACAGAAAAGCTGATGGCCAACTTCATGAAGGAACAAGACTGAAGGAATAGTACAGATTGGTTGCAAACTTTCCAGTGAGTGCTGTGCAGACGCATCTTCTCTGCAGTTCAGTCTTTCTAACTGATAAGCTTGCAGGTATCCTGGACACAAGTTTTCAAAAGGTAATCTGTCAGTGTAACAAGCAGTCCATAATGCTTCAATGCTCGCTAAAATATGAGACTTAAAAAAATAAACAAAAAAGTTGTCAACCCTCACATTTAATACATTCATAACACTTTTTAATATATGTCCTCCTAGAAATTACATGATGAGATGTGGTTGCTTGTAATAAGCTATTAAAGTATTTCCAGCATCTAATTATAGTAAACTGGAACAAGAGGACTGGATAGATTGATTGGAATAAGGGCAAGAATTGTGAATCAGATTATTTGCAAATTATTGGAATGTTTCTCCATAATGTTGGAGTAATTACAAAAAAATAAATAAGAGTGACTCCAAGATGTTAACTAGGTTTAAAGATTTGTTTAGAAATTACAAGAACAATACAATGCATCATTACTAAGAGTTGAAGAAAAAATAAATTAAGCACTAGTGTATTTTGCAATATTCATTAGTCTATCAATTCAGTAGGCTGTCATGAAAACTTTTACAGTTCAAGGAACCAAATAAGAGGCATTCTGATTTGAAAGACAATTTATATATATAAAGAGAAAGATTTTATGTTATTTTTTACATAAATAGCATACCAACTTCAACAACGTCCTTTCTGGGGAGGGAAGGGAATTCCTCTATTCAAAGAGATTCCTTCACAAACGACTTTTCTAGAACAAAAAATCCATTTGTTTTATAAACCAGGTTCATTTCACTAGAAACAAGGTTCAAAATCTTTAAGACCTGCCAATGCAACATCAGGGCTTAAAGCAGCTTTTCTAAAGTGTCAAAGGTTATGTTTGTTCTTCACTGGCTTGAGTTAAGGCAGACAAATTGTTTTCTCCAATGTTTTCAATCATTTCATTAAGTTCCATTTCATGGATTTCTTCATCGTATGATGTGTTAAACCTGCTCTGTAGGTTGTCCTCACAGTAGATACAGTCCTTGAAAAGAGAAAAAGTCTCTCATAAGACATTAATAATTCTAGCTCTTACTCCCAACCTCATGCCTATCATAGATCTTATCCCAAGTTATTAGTATAATTACTAACAAACAGTAAGGAACCACATGTATTATGGCAACAATAGCTGGGATATTTTTCAGCATATGACCCAATGGCTTTAATGATTCATTTTCATCTGAACACAGGAATCAGGATAAAGACTTCTAGAAGGTATTATGCCATAAGCCATTTCAGACTTGAAAGTGCCAAGTGAATTTTAATAATTTCCTTTTAAATCTCCTTTTTAACAATCGACCATCAGTGCAGCATAAAAACAGATGTGGTATGTTCATGCCTGTTATCTCCACTTGCAGACTAGCAGTTACCAACTACAGTTTCCACTAATAATTTCACAGCCCTATATTACTATTTAGATTGGAATTTCACTATGATTCCACTGGGAATCCACTGCTATTCTACCCTCCCCTGCTCAGGGTACTCACTGATATATTACTGATCATGACAGGAATGAGTATTTAGGATAAATCTGAAAGGAGGAACAGTAGACTAACATCAATACAGTTAGGGTGCTATATGCATAAGGTGTAGTGTAGAAGACAATGTGCAGATATTTATTGAAGAAACTGATCAGCAGATAGACAAAGCCGACAGCAATAAAAATACTGGAGAAATGCATAGAAAAGTAGATTTGTGACTGGCCTTGAAAGTAGAGGTGGAAAGTCTGAACAGGACACACTAGGGAAAAAAAGGGTAAAGCCAGTGCTTAATTAACTCAGAAGGTGCATTTCAAGTGTGTTGTAGTAGCAAGTTTTAATAGTTTTGTCTGGATGTAACACCTTCTGTCGGAACTGATGTCTTTTCCTTGATGACTCAAAAGGTTTCTGCTGACTGATCCTATGCAGTGGAGATTCTCTACTTAGAAAAAACTGAGACATGTCTTGTTCCCTGCCTGCCCCCAGTGGTTGGTGCGTAGGGTCCCAAAGATAATGGAGCAACTCAAGTCTTTTAGTGACCACTGGGCTAAATCTGTTTTTATGTTAAAAAGGTGAAGACATCTGCATGGGGAGGGAGAAGAAGGGGTAAAAGGATTATTTTCTAGATGGCAGTATTTTAATGAAGCTCCAAGTAAATTATAAACACTGCTCTAGCTGGCACCAAGGATATTACAGTGCTAGAAGCTGAGAATACAAAGAACACCTCACTACCAAGGACAACAGTGGCAATGCAAGCTGAGTACTCACTGTTAAGTTGCCCCATACAATAAACTTCGGGGCTGAGAATTGACATGGGCAACTGTACTGTTGTTACTGATATTCCAACTGCAAGAGCTACGCCATTGGCACCAAGTACACCAAGGCAAGTATACTGAAGGGTTTGTACCAGGTGCAACACAAAACTCCCGAGACAATGCTGTTGCTCCAAGGGTCTCAGAAGGACCTGTTCTGAGCCATGATGTATCCTTTGATAGGCTGAAGTGATCTCTGCTCCTTTCTTCTTGGTCTCAGGAAAAGTGACCTATATTTTTGCCCTTCAGAGATGTTGTGTTCTTTCCTGAACCTCTACAGTGACTTTTCCTTTTTTACTGGTTTCATCTGACACCAGTTAAACAAAAGAGAACCTAGAAAGCTGGAGCTGAGAGTCAAGTTCACAAAGGGGAAGACTGTCCAAGGCCAGTAAGGCCTTTTTTCTCTTTCTACGAGGCCCATGATAGATGTTTAATTTAAGACATGATGGGATCTAATCTGATGGCAGGATGCATGATTTTGGGATCAGGGATTAGATCCCAACTACACCTTGCTTGCTGGTGCAGCAGGAGCCCGGGACCCCATGCACAAGCAAGATAAAACCAATCAGCTAAATGTCATTTGGGGCCAGGAACCAAATGGTCCCCAACCCCACCTGACAATCAATTCAATGCAGGAGGAGCCCAGCATCAGGCTGCAACAGGTCAGTGCTAGATTCCCCATGTACTGGGAGCTATAAAGCCATGTGTGCCACCCAGCTGCACATGAAGAGTTGTATAAATCCCATGTACCATCCTGGTGCAGCTCCCTGTGTACCAAGAGCTGTCAAAACCTATGTTAGCTGCTCAGCTGGGTGGCACACAGGGTTTATTCATCTGCTAGTGCAAGTGGAGCCCAGCACTGGGATGTGGCAGCTTGATGCCAGGCTCCCCATACACCAAGACCTGTCAAAAATCAGTGTGCCACTCAGCTGGGTGACATATGGAGTTCTGACAGGTCCCAGGCACATGTTCAATTTGAGGCATACTACAAATAAGCCACAAAGTTATTCCTCATGTAATGTAGAAGATAACTTTGTGGCTCATTTATTCCATTATTATGCTTTAAATCAAGTTGCACATGTGGCTGAATACTATTTAAAGTGTGATTAACTTGTTAAACTGGTCTGAAATGTAATGCGTGTCAAGGGCCTGAGAAAGCTCTCAGTCACTTTAGGAGGTAAATGTAAGGAAAGTCTCTCTCTCACCTTCACTGTGTTATAGAAACCAAAATGGGAGACAGTTGAGGGAGTGTCCCCATCCTAAGGAGAAGGCACACCTCAAAACATCAGTTAGTTGCATCTTGAAAGGAGCACATTTTGAACGCAACAATCTTTATTTCAGCCATAAGAATTAAAAAGACAGCTAATAATTGTACAAGGCTGAAGATTTAGTGGAGTACGTTAATTATGTTTGAATAGTCATAAAAAAGAAAGTGTTGGGTTGTCTAATACAAGAGCAGCAGATATTACCTAAGAAAAAAAAAATCTAAATCACAGATGGAAAAAATAAAAGACCTGAAAGATGGCTGGGCCCCACTCTGTATTAGGATATAGTGGTGGGTAGGTGCAGGTGAGGCTTCCATGGACATGACTGGCTAAAAGAATCCAACCTTACACACGTACCCAGATGCAGGATACACATAAGCAAAGCACCTCAATGATTAATCAGAGACATGCACCTATCACAGTTAATTTTTTCTTTTTATAGAATACTTGCTAGATACCTTTATCAAAACTGTCCAGAAATAATAAAAAAAAAAGTCATCCTTGACTAATAACAGACCATTACAAAGAGACACGAAAGTAGCTAATAAATAATGTAGCTGCTGGCTCAGTAGTGTTTTATATAAGATGTGCATTACAGTTGTGCCTCAAAAAGTACAAGAGCCTCCAATTTTTCCCCAGCTGCAGTTCAAGTTCTTTTCCTCATCTGTTAGCCCTTTTAGGTTTGTCCCATTTAACTGCAAAAGGGATGGACTGAGGAACAAACACATGAGTCAGGGCACTAGCCCAGATCATTCCCAGACACACTGGGTAGGAAGTAATTCAGTGGAAGGCTTCTGAAGCTAGAATCTACTCATTCAAGTTTTTCTTGAGAGTATATGGTGAACTGAAGGGGTCTCTGCTTAAAAAAAAAAAAAAAAAGGATGATAATGATCTTGGCTGGAGATCTGACATGAGAAGAATATATACATGTTTCTAATATCAGTAATTAATGTTATGGACAGAATTTCAGTTAGTTCATTTCTAAGTGTATTGCAACGAAACTTCCAAATTAAACTTGTAATGTACAGTAGTTGTCAAACTTTAATTGTGACATGAATTTAAAACCATCAAGAACAAATAATGGAAGACCATTGGGTATTATTAAAGCAATATTAATTAATTTAAAAAAACTTACTGAGTTAGAAACTGCTTTTGGAAGTCCACCCTTCTGCATCCATGGATGAACCTCAATAAGTTCCTTTTTTTGTTCTTCTGTAAACTTTGGTTGGAACTTCTGCATTTGCTTTAGCTTCTGTCTGTCCTCTTTTAAAACAGCTTCCACATTTCTAAAATTAAGTTGATACAGAAATTAAAATGAGACTGAGTCTTTATTATCCTCAAATTTATTTAGTTTGTACAGACAAAAATAACTTAGGAAAAAACACAAGATTGAAAGCATTAATTTTGTTCTGGAATCCATATCAAACTTGAAATGAGAGCTGGAAAGAGATCATGGTTGTGACAGAACCTTCCCACATTTGCAGAAGGCACCAATATCTCTGATGATTGGTGGACCTCTAATTTTCCAATGAGCACTCATGATGACAGTTATTCTGATGCATGCATCAGCAAAATGGGCAAGAACTTCCATTTCATGTTGCTGCTGTTTCTTATGAAGGCTCTATGCAGTAGCCGCTGCATATGTTCAATTATTTACAAGGGAGAATGACTTTAGACAAAGGCTGCATATGCATGATAGGTAGGGCAACCATATTAATTTCGAAGGAAATCCAGGACAGAGTAAGGAAATGTAGGACAGGGACACCCCATGCCCCCCAAACCCTGTGGCTCCCAGGAGACCTGAAGGCAGGGTGGGCCAGGCCAGTGAGGAGGCCCATGGTCAGGCTCCATCCCTCCAGGTAGAGGTTGGACCCAGCTGGGAGCGGCCCCTGTGCGGCACGCCCCAGGCTCTGCCAGCCTGCACTGCACGGCCACATGACACCTCCCCCTACTGCTGGCAGCTGCCCTGGGCTGCCACATGCATCCCTAGCCTCAGCGGCAGCAGGGCATGAGGCTGCCAGCGGCCATCCCACTCAGGTGCCCAAGGCAGCCATCCAACACAGGTGCCCTGTTCGTCTCATACAGGTGCCCAAGCCCCAGGCTGGCCAATTCCCACCCCAGGCAGGAGGAGCAGCGCTCAGCCTAGCCCACTCCCTCCACCCCCAGCCTCCAACCATTGCCAAGGAGGAGACAGGCCAGGCATGTGTGGGCAGGGTAATGCCACCAATCCAGGACTTTTGCTTCAGTTTTAGCCAACCAGCCAGGATGCTGTGATGGCCTATGAAATCCAGGACTGTGCTGTCCGAACAGGGATGTATGATCACCCTAATGATACGGGTTAGAATATTACAAAAGGAAACTCCAGGATCTGAATGGGCTGAGACAGAAAACACTGTTCCTTATAGAATCCAAAGCGTGCCACCTTGACTGAGGAGTGCTCAAGTTTAAAATAAATGTTTACTAGCCATGTGCCACTGCAGAAAATGCAACAAAGCAGGGTCTGGGACCACCATTCCAGCAACCATCCAAATGTATTTCTTTATCTAGCAGCTGGAATTGCAACAGGTTGGCACCTCACCAGGGGGTGGCATTTCCCCTTTCCCTTAGTCTTTTCTGTCAACCTCTGACACTGTGACTAATACAAGCTATTCAGTGACAACACTAAAACAAGGAAGCCTTGCACCTGTTTCTACTCTTAGCAATTCTAGGTATATTTACTTATATTAACAGGGAGCATCCTCAAAATCATCCATCCAAAGCTATACAAAATTCAGAAAAGCCAAGGTACTTTTTAGCTCAGGACAGTATTACTACGTCTAGGGTAACAGGGAGAACCCGCAAGTCATTATTGTATGTACTATCCACCTCATTTTCCCTACCAGCACTCCCATGAGAGTTCTTTTTCATGTTTTGAAAAATGATTTTCTTCCCTTTCAGAAACATTTTTTTTGCTTATTGCAAGTCCATCAATATCTTACAAAACGCCTCCTTTTTTCAAAACTTCACACTAGGTTTCTTAAGAATATAGGTTGACAAAACAGCAAGATAAAATGTACAGTAGTGATTTTGATGAAGGTTTTACTCCTTGCTTGTGGGTTCTTATTCTTTGGGCTTTGAGAAGGGCAAGAGACACCAGCAAGTTACAATCAGGCAAGAGACTGAGAAAGAAGATGGAATCTGAATGGGAAGTCGTGGGCAAGAGCCTACTAGAGTATAGGAACCTGCACACACTTCCCAGCACAGTATTCCAGGCACTCTGACTGGCAAAGGTCTGCTACTTAGAGTACAGGATTTACAAAACACACACACTTAGCAATTACTACATATGCATCTTTCATATAGCTTATTCTAGTTAGCAGAAGAAACGATAGAAAAGGCTACATATTGGAAAGCAGAATGCTACTACCACCTTGTCTGTTCCAGGTCAAGAAAATTACTGAAATAGCAATCTATATATTTATCCCCATAACACCTATGCAGCTTATGAAAGGAGTAAGACTTACCGGGATGGTATCTGGTATGTCATCATAACAGCATCATCTGTATTAGCCATCAGTAGCCAGATAGGATCCTGAAGGACATATTTAATGAAATGCTCATTTTCTTCCATTTCTGTTCTCTTTTTTGTTTTATGTTGATTTTCTGAAGAGTCAATACTCCCAAAGTATTTGCTGGTATGACTTGTTTCACTACTGCCTTTAAAAATAAAACATAATTTTATATGAAATATTGGACCTTTATAATAAAGTTATCTGTTTGAGCCTTGTTTGTTTGTGTTTTATAGTCAGTGTATATGCATGATGGAAATATGTGGTAGAATATAGTTTCTCAACCTGTGGTACGCATACCCCTGGGGGTATGAGACACAGGCAGTGGGTATACGGGTACCCCCACACTCTCTTGCCCTCTTTTCCTCTCTCTCTTGCCCCTTCCTCCTCTCAAAACTACGGCAAAAAATTGTAATTCCCCTGTAATAATTTGGTGTGCAGCACTGGGTTCAACTCTTAGCTTTGGCCAACATCACTTCTAGCCCAGGTACATACTTGAGTTGTGCACCCCTGGTGTAAAAGGTGGCAAGCCTACCTATACCAGATCAGACACCTGTCATATCATGGCCTAATATACACAGCCCTTCTTCCAACATATAGCACACATTAGTCTGCAAGTATAAAATCCCCTGGAAAATTGAGTGTTGGAGTACTTATTAAAATTTTCAGAAGTTAGGGGGTACTTGCTACTGAAAAGGTTGAGAAACAGTGGTAGAACACTTGGACAACCATTTAGTCTCTAGACATGCCATTATATCTAACCTGTTAGAAATGAAACTTTACGACATACAGCTGTTACTACTAAATACCAAGTAGGAACTCCAGAATAAAAGAAAATGAATTAAGCCCTTTGAAATGGGATTGTGAAAGAAGATGATTCTAATCATAAAGTTTATAGATGAGCAAAGGATATGTCCTAGAATTTTCCTAAAACTTAGATCTGGAGCTTAAAATTACGTTTAAAAGAATCAAGGCTTCTTAAACTGTTTTCTAAAAGGAAACAAAGACAACAGATTTATTTATCTGTCAAAATTGCTTATACCCTCCTAACTGACCTTACAGTCCCAATGCAACTAAAAAAGCATATGCAAGTTACCACAGAGGTATCTACAAGAATAGTAACCTCTGAATCAAAGGCTGACATTCTTAAACAAGGAATAAGATTATGTTTATAAACCTTGTAAGTAGCCAAGACTAAATAGAAGATTTTCCTGGAAAACTTTTGAGCTCAAAGTGATAGTCACAACGATATCTTGTGCACCATTCCCCATGAGACACTAGCAGGCAAATTACATTCACCACTGGTAAATGTTACCTGTTCTACTCCCTGACATCCCGCAGCCATTGGATCCAGATCCTAATGATTCAGCAGCTGCTGACACACCACTACCCGATGAAGCTGAACCAGTGCCTGAACATGCATCCTCTTGAAGTAAAATGTCAAGCAAGTCACTTGACATAGAGAGCGCATCACTGTTCTGAGCTTCCATTAGAGATTCCACCTGGGGATGGAATAAGGTGCATTCAAAACTTATTTATGTTAAAGTGGTGACAGACATCACTTCTGTACCTAATATGAGTAAATGCAGCTAATTCAGAGGAAAAAAGAAAGCCTGTACAATATATGACAAGACTAACTGGTATGCTGAACTGAAGGTGGTAGAAATAGACTGTTCAGATTGTCCACTAAACTTTTAATCTAACAACTCTTTTAGATTTGAAGCTTTATTTTAAAAACAGTCAGCAGAGGAAGGTGTGTTAGTGGATCAGTACTGATGGACTTTATTGTGAAGAGACCCGAGCCTTTGTCTGCAGCATCTAGAATTCACTGGTACGGGAATGACTTTGTAACCATCTCTACTGTGATCTACCTACAAAATTTACACTTCTTGTAAGAGCTAAATTACAGCTGTTGGTTATACTGAGTGAACAGTAACATCTGGTGAAGTATGCTGTTGCCCACGAAAGCTCATACCTCTCTGGACCAGTTAGTCTCCAAGGCCCCAGGCATATAATTACATTTACAGCATGCTTAACATATTGCCATAAATAGCAACATGCCACATGTTTGGCCAACTTATGGCCCCATAAAGTGGAAAACCCAGTCACAAAGATACTCCACATAAAACACCTTTGTGACTGGTTTGTATGGTGCCATACATTGAATTGTATGGCATGCCCCATGAAGTATCAGCTGACGATCTGCATCAGCTCTCGGGCAGCCCCAGGTCTAGAATAAGTCTGGGATTCTGAAGTTCCTGGTGGGGGTGAGCTCTGGGGCTTGCTGTAACCTGGTACTTCAAAGCATCCCATCTGGTAGCTAGCTTTCATGGCACAACTAGGATTAGTCCTCAGTCCAGTAAGAAGTATCACATGTCCTGCCACGCATGTGTGGCATGGCAGGACCTGCAATTGTTGGGATCGAGGAATCAAGATCCCATCGTACCATTATTTTATTTGAATGTCTTTCTGGAGGCCTATTAAATCCTATCCTGCCCTTTCTGAGTAAAAGAGGATGATAAATAGCTTGCTTGCATGGACTGCTTTAGGGGAGGAGTTTTATTTGTATAAGCACTTTTATATTGATTTCTAAATCAACTTAGATTCAGCAGTGAAAAACTTGAGAAGAACACCCAAAAGGTTTATAAAAAAGGAGGATAAAAAATAATAATAAAATATGTGGCCAGGCAAAAAGACTGCTGCTAGACAAAGTATTGTCATGCACTATTTCCAGTAACATAATTAGACTTCTATGAAGTAATATCTACCTATCTTCCTTAAGAAGAGTACTTCAGTAATGATTTCCTAGGAGCCGCAATAAAGTTATACTTGGTAGGTTTTGAAAAACAGGGCAGCTTATTTTCAGAAGTTCAGAGAGGTTAGAAAAACTTAACATGAAAGCAAACAACTACTGATGTTTTCCTCATAAGTCGCATATTGTAAGATTTTTTACCCTAATATCAGCAAGACTGACAATGACTTTCAACTGAAAAGTTTCCTTAAAAGTATAATGCAACTGGAAAGGTATTGCTGCACTACAGTTCAAGGATCTTTGAAGATTCAACCTTTCAACAGAAGATATTAAAAATGGGACATTATCTACTATAGCATAGAAACTGTTCTTTGCTGAAATTTGTCCCATCAGCTAACAGCAGTGCTAAATCACACATATATTTGGCTTTTACTTTCTGCATCAAGACAGTCATATTTAAATGTTTAGGTTCTTAGATGTAATAGTACCAAACTGGTAATGCCAAGTGGCAAACCTCTGGAGAGAAAGTCAGGGGCTTATGTGTGAGCACCAGTGCATTTTGGAAAAAAATAAAAATAAAATCGCAATTCCTAATTCTAGGGAATCATTCATATTAACTACTAAGTTAACTGCACTAGATATTTAATGACTCTTAACTAGATTTATAAAGTGAATACATATATCTTACATATTTATGACTTCACACACAAATACACTGTGCTACACATGGTCTGTACATGTTTAAGGCTTAACAAATGACCATACTGTTTCAGTATTGGCCAACCTGTGCTGTAGGAGCCTGTATATCCTACATTATTCAAAAGGCTTTTTCCTTCAGATTTTAAATTTGCTGAGCCAATACCTGCTCAATTCTGAAAATTTTAAGAACTTGAGGTAAAGGAAAAATTGGCTGACAGTCCATGCATTACCAAAACCTGTATTAATTCATTCTTAATTGTTGTCAGTTAACTATAGTTTAGATTTTAACATTACAGAAAACTTGTTTTAAAATGCTTTTTTCCTAGTCCAGTTTGATTTTCTCCCAATGACCTTTAAAGCTTTTAACCAAAATGTTATATTTAATTTTAAGTTGTTAAAAAAATTCTTCTTAGAACCTTTCTAGTGCTTTTGAAAAGGCCAGTATTTTGTGTTAACCTTAATAAAATAAAATGCATTGGTTTTGAGGTCAACGTATTATGTTTTTAAGCTTCCAATTCTAAACTCTATATAGTTAAATGTAATTCTGAGAAAGTAAGATGTCATGGAACAAGAACACATGCTATTTCTATCTAGTACAAAAAACACATTTAAGGTTTTCCTTCTTTCCTCAGGAAGGACTGGGTTTAAAGTTTATTTTGCTAGAACTTGGTGAAGACTGAATTTAATAAATTAAAGTTATAGGTCAATCTATTAAGTCAATATAGCCTCTTTAATTTCTAAAGCAGAAAGATACAAAAAAAAAGTCAAATGGCACTTGAGAAAATGATAACAAATTTTAATCTCTTCAAGATGCCCTGGGGTACATTTTTCACTTACAGGTAAAGAACCCTTTCTGCTGCACTCCTCCGTTGACACGGTTTTGCTTGTGGCAGCTCCTTCAAGCAAAGCTCCATTTAAGCCAGAAGCAGTACCACTTTCAGCAGTTTTGGTGATTTCTTCTAATTGCAGAAGATTTAGTTGTAGAGGAGAACTACATCTTGACTGAAACAAAGGCGGTGAGGCTTGATCTCGTAGGCCGAGAGACTGTGGAGTGGAGGAACGAGACTGCTCATTTCGTGATTCCACGACAGGAACTTTTTCACTTTCTGTTGGTGGACTATACTGGAATGACTGTGCTGGAAAAAATGTCTGTTGGGGGAAAGAGTTGGGAGCAGCAAATGGAGGTGGTGGGGGAAACGTGGATGGTGAAGAGAGAGTGGGATGGGCAGGAAAACTAGGCTGGCCATGATAAAGTGTCTGTGGCAAACTGTTGTTCATTTGAGGGTATATATAGTTGGGGAGCACTAGTGCTACTACTGGTGTCACAAGAGGTGCAGAAAACTGTGATGTTTGCATGGGACAACTACTGCCAGCATCTGGTAATTCATTAAAACCTGAGAGGGATGTCTCAGGACATGGTGGTACAGTTCCTGATGTTGGAAAAACTGGAAGTGGATATGCAGGCATAACAGTAGGGAAAGACATGGCCGGGTAGCTTGCTTGAGATGTATCTGATGGCGACCAAGCTGTGCTATTTAGACCTTGTAGTGGAAATCGGTGAGGGGGCTTTGTTCCAGAAGTTGTGCTATCTGAGGATTCTTGTGGCTTTATTCGTTTAGACTTTGATTTCCTGTTTTTTCCATTTTTTTTCCAAGATTGGTCCATTCCAGAAATACCATTTCTTTGACCACGAACACCTGGAAAACAGGAGAAAGCTGTTTGCAATTTGATGGTACCTCATTTAGCTATTCTCAGGAGATGTTTAAAACCTTGCCTGTTTCACTATTTTTATGTCACTAGAAAGGAACCAAACAGGAAGAAGTAGGGTTTATTCTTTTGCCACTGGCAAAGTGATTAGGTCTCTTTGCAGGAGCAGAAATATTGGTACAAATGTGGAGGTTGGGGGGG